AATCCACAGCCTCATTCAAATCAGCTCCCTCTCAATGAACTATTTCCCTGCACTCTATTATACCCATGCTCCTCCTCAAAAGACTCACAGACATCTTTTAAGGCACTTAAAACATTATTGGGGTGTACACTGCTCACTGTCTGGCACTGATGTCACAGAAGCACTCAGAAATCCATCCATAAGCAGATGGGATAACCCTCTGACTCAAAAGGAAGTGAAAGAAGGGTGAAGAAATCAGGAGGCAATACTTTTTTCCAACAGTCAGAAGCACAGTGTGATTGCCACTGTCTGAAGTTACTAATTAGCAAGAGCAGAATTTTGTTCCTGCAAGTAATTGTGTTCGAGAAAGTAGACAAAGAAGAAACAAGAGGAAGAAAAGTATGAAAGTTGCTGTTTTCTTTCACATTGTCTCAAAAACTGAAAGGAGGTGGGAGAACTTGCCATCAAAGTTCATGCCAGCTCTTTTCTAATGTTCCCCATTATTTTGGAAATTAGGTTCAAGATTTAAAAGTAAACTAGGGCCCCCAAAATCAAGCTCTTCCATAAATACTTTTTTAAACTTCTGAGAGGTATTTCAGTGCTGAGAAGAAATCATAGGAAGCTAGATGCCTCATCTGTTTAGACATTCTGGAAAACATCACTAGGCTTCCAACTGAAATAAAAGGCCTTTAGAAATTTTACCCTAAATTGCAATGAAAAAAGAATTGCAACATCAGCTGTAAGGAACCCATTAGCCCTCTTGACATATTCAGAGAAATAAAGCAGTTGTCAGAAACAGTTTACTTTTTACAACCTCTTTGGAGAAAACTAACAAGTAAAAAGCCAGTGAAATACAAATACCGTGTATCTTACACCTGCTTATGCTTATGGCTGTGTAGGAGTCACAGCAGCAGGTCTCAAACAAAGTTAATGTAAAGTAGGTGAAGATTCCGAGTTGAAGTAAGGACTTCCTTCCAATGACTGCAGTACTTCAATCCAAGTCAGGGCACCACTGCATGCCAAGGGATCAGGGATCAGAGCGGTCCCTTCCTTGGATTATATGTTACTTACAAAGATCCTGCCACCAACAGAGCAGAGAAATGTCAGCCTGAGCCTAACCAAGATCCACTTACTGTAAATATGTGGTTTTACCAATTTCTATTGCACAAATGTTTAATAGGTCCATTTGAGTATGTAAAGATAATTAAGAAAAAAAGAGGAGGTTTTATTTGGTGCTAATTCACCACATGCAAATTCCAGCTGTTTACTGTAGACCTACCACCAAGCATACACTTCTTCCCACAGCTCATCAGAAAGCCTCTTGCTGGTGAAAGTGGTTAATCCACAACATTTTTGTTGCTGAAGCCAAGACTCCAAATGGAGGGTTTAAGTTACTAATGACAAAAAACTTGCATTCTCTAACTAGCAAATACTGTAAGGGTTTCTCCATTTACAGAAAACCACCCAGAAGTGGTTGCTGGCAGAAAAAAATAGACCAGAATAGAAGAAGCTGTTACCAGGCAGGACAGAGATGCACAAAGCAAAGCAGCAGCAAAAAACATGCTAGGAAAAAATCCTGTTATCTGGCAGCATGGGACAGCCAAAGTAAGCGACAAGTTCCTTAGTGCCCGCCAAGCAAAAGCCTTGTGCTAAAATATCCTCCTGTGCTGTGGCCAACTTGCAGCCTCTGACCCTAGGCTGGAAACAAAGCTTGGCCTCATGCCTCACTGAGATGCCTTGTGCCACCACATGACAAAAGAAATGGCTCCTCTAATAACTAGGTTTGATGTTTTGTGTTATTCCTGCCCCAGAAGCAACCAAAACTTCCAGCCAGCATTAGAGCTTTATGGTGCTGGTTTCTGTGCAAACAATGCACTGCCATGAGTTATTTTCAATTTATGGAAAGCCAAATAGAAAACCTCTAGGGGAATCAAAGAGAAGAGTGAATTGAACAAGTGCAAAGTTGCTCCACAGGCATACAAACCTAAATCTAATATATTATCAGTAACACCTAACATCATCACAGTCTGTTCTGTGATCTCATACATTTAAATTAAGACTCTGCATAGCACTGCATTTATAAGCCAATAAGTATATTGGATTGTAAATGTATATAAAGAGCGAGTTCAGTTTTGATGTGAACTTTTGAGAAGACCATAAAGCTCAAGGCAAATCATTCTACAAATCATCTTTACAGTTACCAGATTGTGGCTCTACTTAACCCTTCTCTAACAGAATTCAGTAGAAGCACATCCCTCTGGCAGTGAATAACAGAAAAAGGTACTGAAGTAACATATAACATGAAAAGATACAGCTCTCAAAAGAATCACAGCATCTGCTTTTGTTCCTGGTCTCAGCTCTTCCAAAAAGCACAATGAAAAGGCATTATTCAGGTCAGTTTTATAATTGCTCACATGGTCACAAACTGTAGTGAATAAAAATACTGAGATGTGGGTCACTGCTGTGGTACTAGTCAGAAAAGAACGTAGCACCACAGCTACAGGTGCCTCTATTGAAAAAATTAGCTCCAAAACTGTCAGCAGTAAATTCTTAGGAAAAGTTGGTCTCTACAAACTACAGAAGCTGTGTGTAGTTTGTCCACATCTGTAAAGTCACTTGGTACTGTAAAGGGGCTTTCTCTAGATGCAATAACAAGCATGCACTAAACAGAGAATACCCACTAGTACCTCCCACGTCCTAGCACCACACCTGGCCACAGGAATACACTGCATGGCATTAGCTTACACCTAACTCACTTGCAGACTTTACTGACCAAAGCCTGGCACAAAGTCAGGAACATACAAGACCTTTTCACATCAAAATCACATTTTGGGCAGGCAAACAAAACAACTATTTTTCAGATGCCCTTCTCATTCTAGTAACAGATACAGATTTAACAAGACAATCATATCTCACTACACTTCATACAGCAAATATCTTCTTTCTTGTTTCTTCACCCTGATAAACATTCACTAATTTGTAATAAGTGGGTCTCCAGTAGAGATTGGCTGATGAACCACAAAAGTTTCACAGATACTTTGAGGTGTGTAAGAGCCCCATCCACAGAACAAGCCACCAAATATGGCACTAAGAAAACAAACCCAAACCACAATGGAATCTCATTCAGAAGCCACCACCTTGCTTTTCAGAAACCTGATTCACTGCTGAAATGCATGGCTGGTAGTACTGGATCTCTGAAGAGCCCATGCTAGATGCTGGAGTTAACTCCTGTCAATTGGTTTTTGAAGGATATTTGCATTGTCACCTCAAAACCCTTGGGTGAGATGGCTTGGGGGACAAATACAATTCATCTATGAAAGAAAAAAGATACCTTTCTAAGTTATTTTATGCAGTTGTTGAGTCAATCAATTATTCACACTTAATTCCTCTCCAGATCAAACTTTACTGCAACCTCTTGCACTTTATTCTCCAAAAGCCACTCCTGCAGAGCACCCTCCTCTGCCCAATAAAGATTCTGCTTTCAAGTCCCTGTTTAAAATTTGCTGTGCTCCTGTTTTCTCCCCCGCCGTGTCAGCAGCTAGGTTGACCACAGATGGAGCACATTTGGCAGCTGAAATGACCCAGATGCTGAATCTGGAGCCATCTTCCTAGCTGCAGTCGCTGGGCTCACGTCCGACTCCTCAGCTGCTGGCTGTCAAGCTGCCCTCGAGCTGTGCCAAGCGTACGTCCCAAAGCTTTGACCAAAGTGGGGCAAATGCTCTAAATCTGTGAGGCCTGCTGACAGAAAGGATAATAAAGACTAAAGGTTTTAAAAGTAGGCAGTGAGGGAACCCAAACACCCTTCCCTCCCTTCTCTTCTATCCTTCATTTTTTACACAATCTCTTTTCGACTATTAATAAAAATTCAAGGAGAGCTGAATGGTAAGAGCAGTTTTAATGTACCACATGCTAGTCTGAGGTACTGACCAGCAGGAGATTCTCCTTCATCTACACTGTGTGCAGTGGAAGGTGGCTCAGGTACCTCTGCTTCAAGTCACAGCCACAGCAAGGGATGGAAAATAATCTTTACTAAGGAAAAGGTGTCAACAGACATTTCATTTATTTCATTACATATTCCATACTTTAAACTCTCTAGAAATCTTTAAACTATCAAAGCTGTAGAAATTCTTGTAAAATTCAGGAGTGACTACTTAATATCCTACTTCTGGCTAATTTCCTAATTTTCCTCTCTTAAAAGGGGCTTCTACATTCTCCATGCCTCCCCACTGAGGAGCAAAAGAAAAGGCTTACCTTGTTTCAAAGACTACAATCATTCAATTACCATTCTGCATTCTGATCTAGATTTAAGAGGGAGCATTTGAAATTTTCACCCTTTACCTCATCTCTACTCATCCTGGCACAGCACTTTACATGCTGATCAAACTATCCCCACCCAACATTAAAGTACCTCCACAGGGCCTATTCTGCTAAAAAAAAAAAAAAAGTCTCTTCTCAAATAGCAAGTCCAACTCAAAAATGCCTCTATTTATTACATATACACATACTGTACCTGTTAGAGCTCCTGAAAAGAAAACACTGTTTTAGAGGAAGTTTATTTTTCTAAAATATCACATTTACTCATGAAAAATATTTCACACATTTAACATTAAATAGCCTATGTCTTGCCATAAACCTTCCCCTTTCCAAATTAAAATCATCATCCAAGTAAAGGGAGCAGTAGCAAATTACTTCTACCTATATGTTTTTTGTAAAAAACAAATAGCATTTTTTAAGACACAAGAGTCATACATATTCCCATTTTTAACTACTACTGAAAACGGTAGTATTGAAGCTAATTCACCCTGCAGTATTTAAAATTCACTAAACTGAGCTACAAGCATTAAGAACCTTCAGTGAAACAGACTTCATATGTAAGAAGTGGACTGTATTCCAGTAAAACCAAGTCAGTTTAACAACATATTAGTAAAGAAAAGAGACTATTTATAGTACTGTTTCTTTCCTTTAACCCTTTTCTTTCAAGGCAAGTGGCTCAAAATTAAATATGTAATTAAGGACTAGGATCCAATAAACCAAAAATTTTATTCTCTACTCAGAAATTTCTTATGTGATCATGTCCAGGAAACTATCCTCTGTCAGCACTCAGTTTCTACATATGCAATCTGAATTAGATGATGGAGGAGAGAGGAACAGGCAGCACAGCATTAAATAATTACTCATAATTTCTGGAACTAAAAATATGTATATAAGCACTAAGTACAGAAAGTAAAGGAACACTACTACTGAGTTGAACTGGAACACCAATCCTCATGCCCACTTGCTCTGCAATACTTGGAGAAAAGACAGGATTTGATGCACTCCCACCATGGACAAATTCAGCCCTGCTACACCCCAAGGAAATGAAGTTGCAAAACAGAAGGTGCCTCACACAGCCAGAGACACTTATTTGTTTACACAGCACAAACTCCCAACTGCAATCCTGAAGGCACTCAACTATGGTAGTAGTGTATGGGTGTAAAAATGACACTTTAAATACAGCCAATTTACAGGACTCTAGAAAACATTCAGAAGCTTTCACCAGCATCCTAGCTTATGCCCCTGAAAGCAGAAATCCCCTAGAAATTTTCATTATGTTTCTACAGCACCTAGCAAAAGTAGGCCCTCAACCATTAATTGAAAATGCTAGAAAACCCCAATGCAAATCATGAGCTTTTAAATGCTTTATTGGGAACCTTCTGTTTGGGGAGCAGCCTCTCATTGTGGGATTCTTTTATTTGTTTTTAAAGATGTCTTTCAAAACATTATTGTTCAAGGCACTGTAATTTACATCTACAGATTAGCAGTGCACTTAAGAAAAATCCTAACAAAACAACCCACTGCCTTTCCAAGGCTGCACTTGCTAGTGTGGGAAGAGATTGCCACCCTGTGGGCCCCATCCAACACACAACTGCAAGCCCTCACACTCAATACAAAATTGTTGAAAGTTTTATTTTTAAGAAAGTGAGGTTATTTTTAGGATTTTCCCCATCAATATAATAACGTCTCAAATACATAAATTCACTTGTCATTCCGTACTGCACCTGAGAAAAATCAACATTTCACGAAGGCACTGTACATAGAAAGCTTTTTGGAATTACAAAAAAAAAAATCTACGAAATCAAGCATTGACCATAGTTAGCTAGTGCAATCACTCAGTTCACAAGTGAGTTATGTTCTAAATGCAGCTTGTGCCACACTTGGGAAGGTTTAAACACCTGTATTATGGCAATGCTGAATTGCATATACAGATAGTTTAACACCTCTTCAGGTCTGGAGTTCATTTGTATTTGTAAAATCCTTCTCCAGTCTTTTTACCCAACTTCTTTTCTTCTACCAGTTTATTCAGGAGTGGGCTGGGTGCAAAAAGAGGATTGTTGGGCTCTAATGAATGCCATCCTGGAAAGGAAGGGAAGTGGATGAATTAGTAACAGTTCTGTTTATATGCAAAGTTAATAGAGATCTGCATGTCCTTAGAAAAATATTCAAAGGTCAGAAAACTGAAGAAGGACTGGAACTTATTCTACGCTGAGACCCAGCAGTACAGCTTCATAAAGCCCAGGTCAGTATTGATGATTATGCACAAATCTAAGAATTAGTCTTCAGGCTCAGTGCACTCCAAACACCTTATAATCTCCACAATTGAGGAATTTTTAAAACAATTAAGGTGATCTTTTGAAACATAGTTAAGTACAAAGAAATAAAATAAAGGCTCTGCTGAAAAGAAATTCAAGTGCAAAGAAATTCCAAATTGAATTTCTACCTGTGAAACACATGGTTACTTAGAACAGTATAATACTACTCCACAGCACTGACCAAGAGCAAAAGAGGTTCCACTGAAAATGCCATCATCAAAGTGACATTCTGCCTCAGAGAATGTTTGAGCTGCTCATGCAAAAGAACACAACAACCATCAACAAGCCATCACCAATTATGTGTGGTTTTGTTACTGTATTGGCATTCACCCACTTATTAACTGAAGTGACAGGGAGATGGTTCACTTATATCTTTTGAGATATTTGCTATTAATTAAGAATGAAAATACGGCTGGTAGAAAAAGGATAGGGAGTCTCAACATTTGTTGATTTTCACAGAATTCCTCACCTCCAGTACATGTCACCCTTCCCACTGATTCTTTTTAGTAATATAAAGTACTATTAATGTTAATATCATTATTATTTTCCAATAGTACTTGATAAGGTCAGCAAAGCCACCACTGTTCTGTCCCCATGTACAAAGGGCACAGGCATGCAGTACAAACGCTGTACTCACACAGCATTCTGAGCTGAATCCTAACTCCTTTCTCCTCAACAGTTCAAAGGCTATACCAGAAACATTCAGTTTAAATAATTAAGAGTCACATTTGCATTAAAACATCTACAATTTAGCTAGAAAGTGGAAAGGCAGAAAAAAGAAGCATGCAGTACCATCTATAATGTATTTACTGGTATCCAACCCAACATAGTCCAGCAGTTCAAATGGACCCATGGGATAGCCAGCCCCAAGCTTCATAGCAACATCAATATCTTCCTTTGATGCATCTCCTAGAGAAAAGATTGACAGTTTGATGAACAGAGAAGATTCCACATCTCCTTGGCACCACTTATAAATAATTAACAAGGTGTTATTTCACCCTGGTGCAGCTCTTCACAGAAATCTCTGCATGTTTCACAGCCACAAAAACTGGAGTCAGCATACACATGCTGAAGCATAAAGCTGAACCTCTCACAAAAAAAGAAAAAAAAAAGCAAGCCCTGCAGGCCTGCTTTCCATTTTCCTGGTTTCCTCTTGCATTTCAATACAGAGCACTGCACTGCTGATGGAGCCACAGCTACCATGCTGACCCTATCAGAACAACTTAAAGGAAGAACTGGTCAGTATGAAGAAACAAGAGCTTCTTTTAGAGGCAGCAGAACAGGGTAAGTAAGGAAACAACTCAATTTTCAATTTCAGCTTCATGAGATCAGCAGCAGCTTTTGAACGATGCACAGGACAGAGCTATCCTTACACTACAGCTGCCAGAACACAAGTGATATCCAGCTGATGGGTAAGGCAGGCATGGAGAGGGGAGCAGGAGCATCTGAGTAACCTGCTTAGCTACAGCACCTATCACCAGAGGATATCTGTTGGAATCAGAGATGGCAGATAAGAGAGACCTGAAATGACTGTGCAGGTGCAGTTGCATTCATGAATTCCAAAATTATTTTAAAAGAAATGATCAAAATTATCAGAAATGTGTTACTTCTACTTCAGTCTGTGCCTATAAAAATACAAATCCTGCACTGCCACATTGTCACAGTTAACTTTAACCTCATTCTTTAGCTGGGAATACATATTTTAGACTGTCATCAAAGCAGATGCACCTCTACTGCGTACCTCTAACCCAAATTTTGAGGAAGGCAGAGCACTTTCTCTGCAGATGCTACAAAAAGGATGAAGTTATACACACCCCAGAGGTACTTGTTAAGTAACCTCCGTGCTCAATGCGTACAGGCATGCACGGTGTCCGGCAGCTTGGCAGACACAGCCTGTGCAATTTATATGCCTAAGATCAGAGAACCCTAGAAATAAATTTACAAAATCTCTTGTAAAGGTAACAACTTCAGTGACAGTTCTGTATGAACTAATAATTTACATATACCTCCTTTTACTCTTTAAAGCTGACAATGTTTTTTTAAGCCACATTTTATTTCTGAGAAGCTGCAGAGAATACCCTTACCTAATTCAAACATAATTTCAGTTCCCCAAATTCAAACACAGCTAAATCCTCAGCTCATTTGCAGCTGATGCAGGTATACAGATTTGTTCTCTCAACAGATTTGCCCCACTTTGTCAAACTTGGGACTTGGCCACCCAACAGTTTAATTACAACACAATAAAAAGCAGTAAAAGGGCAAACAAAGGCTATATCCCTAGCTCATTCTAATCTGTCCTACAGTACAAAGCAGACTTCCATAGAAACTTAGCTGACTGCTTTTTAGTTTATCCACTAAGGACAGAGCAGTACAGACCACTATATATTAATATTTACAATATGCCCTGTTTAAGTCATTGTTAATATACTAAAGATATATTGCTTATGCAAAAGTGCACATTTAACAGAATGAGATTTTGTACAAATAAAAATGCAAGGACTAGTCCAATAAAATGGCATTTCAGTGCTTGGAGTTACCAGGAAAGAGACACAATTTCATTTAATGTAGATGACAAGCTGGCTGAAGTGTCTACTCCGAGAATAAACACAAAGGATATTATAGAAATTTAACCTGATTCACTGGAACATATGAATAAAAGACAGCCATCAATCTTCCCAAGACATCAACTAGCTTTTAAAATAGATTTCATTAAAGTTAAAAAGTCACAAATGAATTTTAGCAATTTTAGAAATATCATACTATGGGAGAAGATACAAAAATAATAAAGATTAAATCAAAATATTGTTTTGCTTAGGTAAAAGCACTCAGTTTTAACATACAAACTCAGTAACTGTTTTCTTCTGCATTTAATTAAAAGTTCTGTTGTCTCCTGAAATATGCACAATGATACATGTCACTTAACAAAGGCACCTCTTTTAAACACACTGAAACATCCATACACTTTATTCAAAATTGTGACTTTTTCTAAAAGAATAATGCCCCCTCACATTCATGCCTTTGCCTTTCAAGTCACTAAATTTGCTCTTTTCTCCCTTTGAGATGTAATTAGGTACATCTGTTGATGGATAAACAAGTAGTGTCGTTTCATTTTTTTTTTTTTTTTTTAGAAATCAAACCATCCCTTCCATGTGCTTTAAAAGAGATTTTTAATATTTAAAGCATACTTGGTGGAATCCTGAAAATAGAGTGCTTTCATCTGTAAAAAGGCAGTGATTTCAAAAACAAAATGTTTCAAATGACATTCTTAGTAGCACAGAGCTACAAGCAGAGCACTTGAAATAAAAGCAATTATAGTCTGTAATTTCATCTTTATCCACTACATTCATTATTGGCTTCTTTTCAAAACAAGCTTCAATGCTTTGAAAAATTCAGTGGTTCTTTGGGGATTCATAATTATTTTTACCTACATATTAATGTAAGAGGCCAGCAGTGAGACTGGAGTTCCTGAAGAATCTATGTCTAAAAATCAACACAGAAGGGGAACAGGAAGTTTTACGTGGCAGTAGCTGAGCTCAAATCACTTCAGTGCCAGTACCACAGTGTGACACTATTACACCACTTACCTCAAAACTGGTGGTTTATTTCACCAGCCCCATGTAAGTGAACTCAGGAGAACTTTATTAATGGTCCCATTATGGGACTTTCAATCACTTTTATCAATGTCTCCTGGGATAGAGAAAGCTCCTGAATAGCTGGCAATGGATATTTTTACAATGGCAATACATTCACCTTGTCATCTCCAAGCCAGAAACATTTTCCACCACCAGGAATTTCACACACAAGTATCTTCCAACTCTGCATAACCTGACATTTCAAAGTGAAGGCAAGGCCTTTCCAGCTACACATGTTGGCTCATATTTAACATTCTCTATTCATTTCCAGCCTTTAATGTCTGAAAATTTTGAGGGAACCCCATGGCTTTTCTGAAGCAAAGTAACATTTTGTAGTGTTATATGTCAACATCCCTTGAAGTCAATATCCCACCAAGTACCTCTCTCAAAAAGACGAACAGCTTCCATCATATATGGCACCAGGAGACGGTTTACAATAAACCCTGGAGTATCCTGTGAAAAATAAAAAAGTGATCCTAAGTAAACACTCTTTACCAGAACTACACTCAATGCTACGTGACAAATAAAACAAGTGGATGACGACACTTATTGTGTCATTACTTAAGATACTCTCTGAACTGTATTTTTCATCTCATTTATCTGATCAATATTAAAGCATATAACATTGTGAAATTCAAACAAGGAATGGCACATAAACAGACATCATGACTGAGAACAATAAGACTACTACAAGCCAAAGCAATTAATCTTAAAACAATTTAATATGGCTAGTCTTTTCTTTATCAAGAGTCTTAATGATATGATTTCCTGAAGGTTAGGAAAAAAGTAGTTCTTCCCTAGAAGGTTTTTTTTGTGTGTGTCTACTACCAGAAGCACTCCTGACTAAATAGTCTGCTTTTCCCCCCACTGCTCACTGGTGATCCATACTTTTGAAAGTTAGGATAGATTTAACAGCAAACATCAACACTAACAATGAAAAGATAAGACACATGCTACAAGAAGGTAACAAATGAATACAAAACTTCTTTTGCACAAGCATCAATCAAAAGCACAATCAATCAATCAATCAAACACAAGAGAGTTTTGCAAATATAGCATTATTTTGAATATTATTGCTGTTTCAGATGTTTATTATTTATTCCACTTTATCTCAATATTTCATCCAGAGAAGCCCAAGCAAAGTTTCCCCTATAGGCAAGAATTAAAAATAAAGAAAAGTTCAGGTGTGAGTACTGCATTATTATCTATCCAAGCTAATTTATAACAATTCATCATATATTCTACACATTGCATAGTACTAAACAGGAAATAGGAAAAAAGTCAACTACAGCCACAGAACAATTTGGTCAGAATTTAGAGAACATAGCCAGAATTAGAGTCCAGCATCCAGAAGCTGAATTAATTAATCCAGTAACTACCGGATTGCAGGCCCTTCTTTTTATTATCAACTGTCTCCTGGGGGCTGTGAAACCCAAAGCAGTAGCTTGCATAAAGCTATCCAGACCACAGCTTAATGGATTCAGAAAAAGTGAGCTTTCAAAGTAGGGTGTTTCTCTAGAGAAAAAAACCCAAAGCTGAGAAGAAATTAAGATTAATATGTGTCTAGTTACTGCAGTCTTAAGAAAAACTTGCAATGAGCACACACCATGGAGGATTCAGCCAACTGCTTCACAGTACAAGAGGCAGTAGATTTGTGTCTGGCATGGCTAAAGATGAGCTCCTGCTTAAGCTCTCCAGTGTATGCTTCTGCAGGACTTGAAAAAAAAAACTCCACAACAGTAAGCTCTGATATCTGTGAGTTTTGCTGCTCTAGACAGGATGTCTAGAGCCATTGCACTTTGAAGAATTTGTGGTAAATGTGGGTGTTTTCTTTGTCAAATTGCTCTTAATTATGAAGACAAACAGGACAAGAAGCAGCCTGGAAATTTTTGAAGTGTGCTCATACATCTACTAAAACCTACCACCTTAAAATTAACAGCCTACAAGGACAGACCCTCTAAACACTATACTGTCAAAACATACTCACCTTGCAACTGACAGGACTCTTTCCTACTGCTTTACTGAAATCCACAAGTGATTCAAAAGTCTTTTGGCTGGTCATTGGAGTCTTGATGACCTGGGTACAAGGAAGGTAGAGAGAGCATAAGCATATTTCTGAGCAGAATCTCTCCAATTTCCCCATTGCAGCAATGTAATCCAGAACACTCTTCCAGAAATTCACAAAACATTTTGCAGAAAACCAACTTGAATGTGTAGATATGTAACAGCCACGGAACACTATTTCACACATAGATACAGCATTTTGCAATGTTGTGTTTCTTTAAGACACTTTCCCACTCAGCCTCTATGGAAGGATGGTAAAAGGAACTATTCTTTGAAAGCACACTTAAGAGATTATAATGTATCAAAATAACTCTAAAAGCTACATAGTCTCTTGTCTTGGGAAACACAAAGACATCACTCCAGAGAATCATTTAAACAGCCGCAATTCCTGATATAACAAGTTCTAGCAGCTACTCCACCTCTCCACAACCCTCTCTCAGGTAATTTTAGGGATTGATAAGGTTTCTCCTTGGCCTCCTTTTCTCATGCTAAACAACCCAGCTCCCTCAGCTGCTCCTCATGTGAGTTACTCTCTGGACTCTTCACCAGTTCTGTTTCCTTTCTCTGGACACTCTGCAGCACCTCAGTGTCTTTTCTTGTAGTAAAAGGCCCAGAACTGGACACAGCATTCAAGGTGTGGCCTCACCAGTGCCGAGTACAGGGGGACAGTCATGGCCCTGGTCACGCTGGCCACACTATTTTTCACACAAGCAGGATGGCATTGGCCTTCCTGGTCACCTGGGTACACACTGGCTCACATTCAGCAGCTATCAGGCAGCACTCCCAGATCCTTTTCCTCTGGTGAGATTTCCAGCCCCTCTTCCCCAGCCTGTAACACTGGAAATATTGAAACAAACACGACTGACTTTGTTTCAAAAGTGACAAGGCAATAAGATTTCATCTCCTGACATTTTCTATTTATTTCTACAATGGTATCAGCAATTCTTATGAATAAGCCTCCCTGCTTGAAATGATGGCTCTAAACAGCACCTCTGTTGGCAGTTCAGTGGAGAACTCAGGAGCCTTGACACTGAAGGAGTTACCTCTGTGTCTTAAAGCCGCCCCTCAACAGAGACTGCAGCACCTCCAATCACTAGAGGCAGCAAATTCCACATCAGACAGCTGCAAACAGAGATCTGCTCTGTCAATCTAACTGAAATCCCGCTGCGGACAATTGCACTGCTGGGCTAGAGCAGTAGCTGATGGAACATGAGGACAGCAGCCCCTGTAAGGCGTGCTCATAAGACACTCACCTCCACAAGCTTCATCATAGGCACAGGATTGAAGAAATGGAGACCCCCAAATCGGTCCTGCCTGGTGGTTGCATTTGCCATCTTTGTGATTTGCAAGGATGAAGTGTTGCTTGCAAATATCGTATGCCTGGAAATAAGAAATATATAGACTGCATAAAGGACAGTAGGAGAATGAGGCACCAAACATAAATAGACATCCACTGGCTAACCATCCAAGAATCCTCAGAAATATTCCTGCAGTTTATCGCAGTCCTTTTTCTGAGGTCTAAGCACAGCAATGATTAAACCACCACTGCAAAGACCGTGTGACTTTCCGATTCTTGAGGAATTACACTGAATGCTTTTATTAGGGCTAGAAAAAAGGACTGTGCAAGTAGAAATTTTTATTTCACTCCCCAAATCCATTCTAGGTAATTCCTTCAGATCCATTCTAGGTAATTCCTTCAGATCCATTCTAGGTAATTCCTTCAGCAACCCTGGAAACCTAAGGGTATTTTTATTTGCTGTTAACACATTTACACATTTATTGAAACCCGATCATATGCCATGTCAAAAATGCACTTTGGAGTCTTACAGAAAATTTGCAATCTACTTTGTTTTAAAATTACCAATGATAGACATGATGAGCAAACCTACCACCAGAGAAAAGATTTAACAGGGAAAAAAAAACCCGAGAAAATTTAAGACCTGCCATGCATAGGACAGTGCAAAAGATCTAAAAATTGCCAAGAATTTTAAGACATATATGAAGTCCTTCTCCAAACATAAACCAGATTTACTAACTGCAATTTATGATGGTTTGGATTTTTTGTTTGTTTGGGTTTTTTTTTCCAAAAATATCTCAAAACCTCAACAGCTCTGCTATCACACCAAAACCTTAGAGAAATGGCTTTTTCTTCAAATAAGAAAATCAGAAACTAAATTAGAGATTAAAACCTACCTTTTATTTTGGGCTGCATCCAACTACTCCTTCAAAAAGTTATCCTGCTGGACCCAGCAAATGTTTATCTATGTTGATATTTTGCTTACATTGTACTAAGATGTAACTGAGCTTTACAACAGAGCTTTCAGAAAAGTTATGTCCAAGTCATGGCAACATTTTATAGTGGCATTAAAGAAAACATTTCAAGACAAAAACACTAAGTTTGCTTTCCATATTTATGACGCTTTCTTTTTTGTTATAGTGAAGGAAAGAAAAATTCCTGAAAATTCTTGTTTACTCTTCTTATAAATATTCTTTTACTATCTCCCCATCATAAAGTGGCCTTATGCTGTTCTGAGGTGAGGTACTAAAAGGAGCATTCTGCATTTCATAGTTTTGACTTTGCAAGGTCAGTGCATACAAAAGTCTCACCAAAAATTTGCCACTGTATATAAAAATTAAAATATTCATATAAAAAGAAACACATTGATTTGTGAAATACAATCATTGCTAGGTTCATAACTGAGTTCACTTAAGAGATTTTACCTCAGTACCTCTTCCATAGCCTCACACAATAGAAAGCCTTGGAAAAAAGAAAATCATTGGATTTGCACTGTGAACAAGTGCATTTTAGTTACACTTTATTCTCTGACCAACCAATTGATTTCAGTTGAGTTTAGAATAAAATTTTCATGTCTCTGTGACTTAGAATGACACAATCCATGCTTCAGATGACAGCAGAGTTGGGAGGCTTTGGGAAGCCAGAACTAGTGAAACCACAGAATGGCTTTCCCAGCAGCAGAGTGCTTTCTCTTGGTGCCATCTAGTGGCTCAGGAAAAGACGTCAAAAGCAGAGAAACGTTAATAAACATTTCCAATAAACCCAACTCTTACAGTCCAGCTGCCTTACACAGCAAACAGTGAACAATACCTCTTTTTTTAACAGTTTTATAACACATTCATTCTAACACAGTGAACAGCTGAAACACATGGGCCAGGTCCAAGATGAGTTTCCACATCTAAAGGCAAATCCTAGACCGAGGAATATTGATGGGCATTTCCTACATCCCAGAAAAAAACAGAAATCAAGTACAGAAAAGTTTTTAAAGTGGATACGCAAAAGTTCTTTTGTCATATTCATTACAACTGTTTGGAAAAGTGTTGCAGTGTCTACAAAAATCCTAGCCTGACCTTTTTTAAAATTGAAATGCAAGACTAACTCCATTCAAGAAAAGGAAAACAGAACTGAAGAGTGGGTAGCAATGCTTTACTCTGCTCCAAAGATGATGACCATGTAACACAGTAATAAATAGCAAATATGGGGAGTTTAATACCAAGAGGAATAGAACATACAATACTGCCTTCTACATTTTGCAAAGTTTCAAGAACATAAATTTTTGCTAAGTTCCAAGAACTTAAACCAATATGTTCTCAGACTAATGTTACCCAAGAAACAGCATCCACTATTTCAGCTGGACAACTACCCAGGTGGGGAATACCCTGAGTTTCCAAGGTGCTCTGGGGTTGCCAAATGCTCCTGGCTTATTACATTTGATTTGAACACTTAGGAGGAATTTCCTCCCCACTCACAAATACAACTTCTCTCAATAAAAGAATAGCTTTCTCATCCTACATGTTTACATCCATTTTCAGAGGAATTACAGTTACTGTATAAGAAAAGGAAAAGGAATTAAGTTAACTGTGCTATTGTAATATTTTAGTTTTTTGCAGTTTCCAGACTTAATTATTTTCCTTGGACAGGTCTCCATAGTGCAAAAATGGGAGATGGACAAGTACATGCTGCAGCTGAGAAAATGCATGAGACATGAAATACATCACAAAAGAAGAAAAATGCAGGGTTTCACACACCTTATATTTCACAGACACAATTCATCATCTTGTCAGAACAGCTATAACACATAGCCCCTCACATTTCCACCTGCTATCATCCACCCCTTGGGAAGTCCTGAGATTTGAAAGAAGCCAAATCGTCCCTCCACAGCATCCTGATCTTTCCTGGTCTCTCCCTGTAACCCACCCTTCAGAGGGCCATCAATGCTCACAGCCCCTCAGAAGCTAAGCTCCTCCTGAGACTCAGAGCTGTCTTTAAACAAATCCTGTCTTTGTTACCAATTAACCACAAGTCTACCACCCCTACTGAGCTGACACAACAGTTAGTCCATACAATAGGTGTGTATATATTTTGAACTATTCAGCCTTAGAAAAGGCTTTGGAATCTTGCACTGACACGGAGAGCTTTCCATTCCAGCACAGTGCCATGTGGGATGAGTAAAGCTCATGCTTCCTTCTAACACATGGAAAAACACTCATACAGGTTCCTGCCTTTCCCCACACTAAGCACACCATCTGCAACTCTGTACTCTCTCACAGTTACAAATTACCTTTTGTACCCAAAGCTAATATTTTAAACACTTGACTACTAAGTATCACTATTTTACCAGTTTTTCATCTAGATTTTCTACACTGCAACCCATTTTTTTGTCATCTACTTCACCTTCCTTTATCCTACACATAAGATATCTGTATGTTTATAATAGCTTCCAAATATCCTCTTAAAAAGAAAGGCTTCTTGTCTTAGCCATTTTTCCAACCCTGCAAAATCATCCCTTTTGCAATGGGCAGGAGCATATTTAAACAACCCCCGGTATCTTTTAACACTGTGATGTAAAATTAGATGTTTTACAGCAGCTATGCTAACAAACAGCTCAGTCTTACAAAAAATAGCCTTAGGTGTTCCAAACATACATATTTTTAAGTGAGGCTCCAAGTCCCCATGCCCACATTTCCTTGCTGACTGGTTTTAGACAGTACATTTAGTACACTCCAATTTGCTCAGTAAATACTCAGCCAACCAATTTTGCACAAAATAGGCACAAACCAACCATAACAAGGTACTCTCATAAATGTCAAAGGCATCTACTTACTTTTGTGTGTTAGGACAATGGCAAGTTACACTGTGCTCAGTACATGGCTGCTTGTGATCATTTACTGTTTTCAAAATCACCAGGTAATTTTAATTACTGACAGTAGGAGAAAGCCTGAAAATCTCCCCAGGCTGAAGTCAACTAATGATAACATCTTTTCTTCCTTGATATGATATTCAAGCCACAGCTTGCCCAGTGGACAGCCTAGAATACCTCTTAGCCAATACCCCCAAATTTACTTGCACTAGTTAAAATCTCAACAAGCAGTCAAGATCTTGTGATCCTGACTCATCAATTACAAAGCTCAAATTTCTGAGACTGCATGCTCACCTTAATAGCGTTTTTGGGTTTGGATACAATTCAACAGTAGCTTCCAACAAGTTATCAAATATAGTTCAAAGACATTTCTAGGGACTTTATGTAACTGAATGAGTACCTACTAAAATACTATTTACCCTTTTACATCACACACAATAACCAGCAATGGCTGTTTCCTAACTTTTGTAATACAAAGTAAAGTTAGTTCACTTAAGACATTATTGAGCTGACTGAGACTTCTTGAAACTTGTTTATGACAGGTGTGCTGGAAACAAACACTTTATCCAATTTATCCACTTTATTCCAATTCCCTATTTAAGTATGGGAACACAACATTAACAGTAACCCCTGTCCACTGGAACAAGTCAATTCTACTGTTCTGCATTTGTAGTTGGATTAAGATTTGAAATTGCCAAGTAGTTAGGCAATCTTAATGACTAAACACACCTGGAACAACAAATGAAGCAGTGCAACAAGCAAATGAAGCAATGCAACACACCTGAGAACGTTTATAACCTATGCACCTGGCACAACAACTATTCCACACCAACATGATAGTCTGGAGCTAGTCTAAGACAGCAGAACTCATTCTTAAAAAATGCAGCTAAGAAAACAGAGAACTAACTGTGAGTGTAAAAATAGAAAATAGTCTAAGTATCAAAATGTACCAGGAAAAATATACATACTCTGGAGCAAACTTATCCAGCGTCTTGAAGAGGTTATTTTTAACTTCCAGGTTCTCCACAATGGCTTCTATCACCAAATCCGTGCTGTGGACCACTGATGCTGCATCTGTGCTTGTTGTGAGGTTCTTCAAGGTCTTCTTAATGAACTCAGCACCAGCCTGAAACATTTTCAAGTGATGTAATTTACTTTTAATTTACAGTGATTTAATTTACTTTTATATGAGAATCCCCTTACGTTCTCTGGTAGTTTTAACCCCCACGAAATGCAGGCAGTCTGCCACATTTCTGTCAAATCAATAAAAAAAGTTCTAAGTGTCTAGAGGTACAATGCTTTCCACTGACAAAATTTTCCTAGCCAATCAAATCTGTTTTGAAGCAAATAGGAGACCTTTAAAACCAATCTTTTAGGAAAACAATTTGCTGTAGTCCAGCCTTCAGCAGAAGAGTCTGGGTGATCACCTGGTTGGTCAATCAGTAGCTACAGTTTCAGTGAAAAAGTGGGGAAAAATGTTTCCTCACTCGTAAATCTGTTGACATAGTTTGTGAGGGCAGAAATCAAACAGAAATGCAAGACTTTCAGCCAAGGGTAAATGGAGATACAGTACACATAAAAAAAACCAAACCCTATATGGTAGAATATAATGTCATACAAAAAGTGCAAGTATTATGTGGACAGTTCTCTTTTTGATTAAAAGGCTCTCAATAATTATATATGTGTGCTCTACTTACCCTGGTACTTCCATACTCCTGCAAACAAGCCCTTTTTATTTCCTTCCTCTGCTGCATCATTTTCTGGCAGTCATCAATACCAGTATACATTGTATATGTTAGTATGTATCAAAAGAAGAAATTAATCTGCTGTGTAATTTAGAGAAACAAGAACAGCAACAGTAACCCTTAGGATACAAAGCCAGACTCATCAGCTGCACCATGGTGGCTGGCTGTATGCAAGACTTACTCAGCAATGAAAGTGTGAAGTTATACATCTAACATGGTCACTTTCACTCTCATTTCCTTTGCAATAATCCTGTACCCAAGTGTTAGGAGGAGAAAAAAGAAAATAACACTCCTCACTCAGGTAATAAGACAATTTTGTTACTATTTGCTTTTGGACAAAACGGATGCATTCCCAGGTAAGCATTCTAAGACTGCTTGCTTTTAAGTGATGAATAATTTTATTGCATTTCACATTTAGCATCTGTTTTAAAAGACTGCTAAGTTGGTTTAAGTCTTTAGCTTAAAGCTAAAGTTTATTAAGGAAAGAAAATGAGGTAACACATCTTTCAACCTCCCTAAATTAAAAATAAAAAACAAACTGAAAGTCCAGGTTCTTGAGCACACAGGGAAAAAAGCTTTCTTTTTAAGCAAGTATAATAACATGCTCTATAATGCATAACTGCAATATCGTAATTCCAAAATGTCAGGTTTTATTCTTCCAAGTTTTCCTAGAGGAATAAAGAAGGAGGTGTCAACCTCAGGCTTATCTGCAAACTTCTTCTTTATCACTCTCTTCAAACTCTCTTCAATTCCTCTTGTAGACTTTTTAAGGATTTCATCTGACTGGTCAACTAACACCACAGTGTGACCACTGGCTGCTGCAACCTGGAAGATAAAAAAAATAAAAATTCAACATCAATGTCACAAAACAACCAACCATACTGATTTGTGTTGACAGACAATACGCCAGGCATTTAGGCACAAGAGAGCTAAAATACATCGAATTAAATGCACTTGACTAGAAAAATCATAAAAGCCTGTATACAGCTGGGGTGATGCTGAAGGGATAAAGGTCTCAAACAACTTGAGGGAAAAGGAAAAAGAAATCTCTCCCTTACACTGTCTGCAGAATCTTTTGTCTGAAGGCATCTGAATTCTGTGGCTACAGAATAAACAGCTGTCTCGAAAGGAACGAGTGTTTTAGCTGAGAGCCTTGGATCTTGTAAGGAAAAAGGGCTGTGGAGACCAAAATGGAACACTGGCAGGGTGAGCAGGTGGCACAAGGGATGGCCAACCCTATGTCATCAGAACACAGCTCTGCTGTCAGGCCATGAGCATGTCCTTGCAACAGGAAGGTGACAGAGAAGCTGGGAGCAGCAGTGGACATTTGCCACTCCAGGATTCCACACAGACATGAATGGCTGCAAAATCTCCTTACTCTGCACTTGGCTACACAGTGCAAACACTGGCTCAGCTACACACAGCACTACTGGACTGCCTTTTTGGTTGGAATTTGGCTGGTATTTAAATTAATTAAAAAAACTTAACGTCACTGTCTCACACTGCATCAGCACATTAAAGATCAGCTGCTCATTATCTGTTACTTCACTTTTACTTTATGTTCCTCTTGTTAGTTAGCAACAGCCTATCTTCACTTCCAGAATCCTTGAACTAAGAGAGTTGTGATTTAGTAACTGTGTAAAACAGATATTAAAACACAGTTCCACCTATGGTTTTAAAGTGACTCAGCTTCAGAGCTTCCCTTCCGCAATCTTTCACCTTGCACATAACCTTACATGTGATGACTAAAGACTCATGCACCCACAAGACCTACTCCAACACAGCTAGCTGAAATGGAAAATACAGCTATCTCATGAAGAAAAGCATTGTGATATTCTCATCCAATCTGCCTCACTAACCCAGCAAATAAAGAAATGCCAGACACAATTTCTTAAGTGCTCAAAAAGGGATGAAAAGCAGCTTTGTTAATAGGGTACAGGGGAGACACCATGCAGTGTTATAATGACCTCTGCTTTGAGAGAAGCTTGGATTGATATACTGGAGGCAGATGGTCAGCACAACAATCCTGGGTCCTTAACAGTGGTAGAGGCCTGCAACCCCTGTTACTGTCAAATACCAGACATGTTTCTCTTAACAAGCTGCTCTCTAAAAATGTGCAGTCCAGCAGAACAAGATCAGCACACTCACCTGGAAAATTATAAGCTTTGCATAGTCTGCATCTTCCTCAAACACGAGAACAACTTTTTTCTAAGTTGTTCTTTGATGGTTCTCCAGTGGAAACCTCAAGTATTACAATACAGAGGAGTGTTTTTATCAGAAAAGAGAACAAACAACTATTTTCGTAGCTAGAACAATTGCCTCTGCATTCCATCCGCTAGAGATTTGCCAGGAATGTAAGAAATCTTTAGTTCTGAGAAGCAAACCTATTAATTCATTGAAATGGAGAACTGCTATTCAGGAGCTCCAGCCTCACTGTCAGTTTCCGCTCGGATGTTTGCCTACCCCCCTTATTCTTTGTTAAGTTTGTGAATTACCCTGGTATCCTGGGCAACAGGAATTAACTAAGTGCCAAAATTTTCAATCACTGAAAGGACACTCCAATTTAATGTCCTAAAGCTATCAAGTTAAAGGTGAACTTAAAAGCCAAAGGCCTGAGATTAAACTCTGGGAAATTAAGTCCTATTTAAATATTAACCACTTCATAATTCTGAAGATGACTGACAGCTAAATGCTCATTTTAGCTGCTGCAGTCTACTGGTAAAATGTATAAAATATCACTAGATATGCTCCCTCGCCAAGTTAGAAGAATCTTCTTTCCAGCCAAGATTTTCCTCGTATTTCCACAGACCCACTGTCTGCTCACAATTAGTCCACGCACTGTCTTAAGAACCACCTTAAACAATTAAAGCCATCAGCCTTGTTTCTTCTCGCCAAGCCGTCTGACCTGAAGATGGGCGGATCAGCAGGAGAAGTGTGAGAGTTGAGCAAGCAGAGAGGAGAGGAGCGGAGCAGCAATACTTTGTACCCCGCCTCGGCAGCAGCAGAACCCAAACCCGCGGCAGCCTGGCAGCGGAGCGCAGGGGCGCGTCCCGGCACGGCCGAGAGCCAGCGCAGCCACTGCTTCCCACACAAACACAGCCTGCAAAGGCAAGCGCAAAGGAGTTTGATCACGGAGTACAACACATCCCGAGAAGCGCCAGGAGGGTGGTTACGTTTAGCTGTGGGTTTTATTAATGCTGGTCTGCCAGCAGACCGCTCGCTCTCCCTAGAGCTCGCCCTTCCCGCCCGGGGACAGCGCGGGGTGCAGCACCACGGCCGGGCTCAGCTCCGAGCGAAGAGCCCAGCGGAGCGCGGGGACGCAGGAGCAGCAGCCCGGGAAGGGCCCGCGCTGGCCGCAGGGCTCGCCCCCACCTCCCTGGACAGTGGCGCCCCCGCTCCCCCCCGCCCCGCGGCCCGGCCTCCGCACTGCGCTCACCTGGGCGATACCGGCGCCCATGAGGCCGCCGCCGATGATCGTGACATGCTTGATGAGCAGCTTCTTGGCGGCCGCCGTGGCGGCGTCGGAGGAGGCGGCGCGCACGAAGTGGCGGGTGGCGAAGGCCATGGCGAAGGCGCGGAGCGAGCGGCGCGGCCGGGACAGGCGGGGCCGGGCCGGGCGGGGCGAGGGCCGCGCTCCGCCCCGAGGGAAGGCGGCAGGTTCCGGCTGCCCGGTCCCAGCTGCCCGCAGCGGGGGAGGCGCGTTGGGCCTTTCACCTTCGCTAGCTCTGCTTCCTTAAGAGCTAAGCAGCAAAGGCAAGGTCAGCACCGCCGGAACGCCCGCGAACGCCCGGCTGGCGCTGGGCCGGCGGCCGAGGCTGCGCTGATGCCCGCCCTTTGCCTCAGAGGTCACCGCGCTGCCCTCAGCGCTCACCTTGCCGCTGCCGCTGCTCGTGCCCGCAGAATCGCTGAATCAACGAGGCTGGAAAGACCTCCGAGACCATCGAGTCCAAGCCCTGACCAAACACCACCATGTCAACTGGGCCATGGCACTAAGTGGCACATCCAGTCTTTCACCAAACACCTCCAGGGACGGTGACTCCACCACCTCCCTGGACAGTCCATTCCAGTGTCAAACCACCCTGTGAGCACAGGGTCCAACCTAAACCTCTGCCGGTACAGCTCAAGGCTGTGTCCTCTTATCCTATCACTGGTTGTGTGGGAGAAGAGATGCACCCGCACCTGGCTACACCCTCCCGTCAGGGAGTTGTAGAGAGCGGTAAGGTCTGTCCTGAGCCCCCTTCCTCCGGGCTAAACAATGCCAGAGCCCTCAGCCGCTCCTGACAGGACCTGTGCTCCAGACCCTTCCCAGCCTCTTTGCCCTTCTCTGGACACCCTCCAGCACCTCAATGCTCTTCCTATTCACATCATTAGAAGCTTTCTCTCCACAACAAAAGCTTCCTGACTAGAAGGGGATGTTATTTCCAGGCTAGCACAAGATACATAATAAACATCTATAATTTAAAAAATAAAAAAAAAAACCAAGAAAAATTCTTCCATTATAAAAACTAACAGCTGAATCATATCAGATGCAGACTGCCCTGATTTCCATCTAATTAATTTGTCACCAGAAAGACCTGCACTTCAGCAGCAGCTGACAACACTGCAAGTATTACTCGAGTCAGCACCCGGGTAAACATTAAGCAGCTTGTTTTATTCAAATAAAGTGTTGTATTCTCATATCTCTGCACTTTGTACCACAAACTTACTGCAAAAAAATTCACTTGGATTAGGTAGGAGCAGGAAGTGGCTTTGGAAACAGCTTTATCCAAAGACCCCCTTAATGATCTTTGTGTATACAAATGCCAGCTGAGTGGTAATTAATGAATTTCCCCTAAAAAACAAATAAACAAAAAATAGCAGTATGCCAAGTAACCTGCAATGTAACTCCAGGGCACAAGACACAAGATTTCCACCTACAGCTCTTGTTGCTGAGTGCCAGCTCCTGGTTAACACCAGTGCTGTTACCCACCCCTCCCCACAAACACTTGGGATGGCTCCTGGCTCAGCCCTGCTCTTCCGTAGGGAAGGGTCTCCCACTTTTCCCTCGGGGGCTCTTTGCCCTCTCCCCCAGACTCCCCCTTGGCACCCCTTTCCCTCTCTGCCCTCTGCCTCCCTCGATGCCAGAAGTCCAAAAAAACTACACCTCAACTTCTGCCCCGGTTTTTTTTCCTGCAGACTGCACACCTCCTGCTGACAATTCTTTTGCTCTTTTATCTTCCTCATCTCCCACCCTTCCCCCTCTTCTATTCTGGGTAACTGTTTTTAAAAAAACCTCTATCATTCAATCATAGCATGCCTGGCAATGTTATTTTCCCAATTTCACTTTGTTTCCCCACCTCCTTCACTCCTCATCCAAAGCACTTTCAACATCTTCTCACTCAGAAGCTTTTTCTGCAAGATGCAAGATGCCAAACACCACAAGTTCAGTCAGTAAGCGGAACTGACTGAAATGACTTTGCAAAGCTGTGAAACACTTACTTGGGAATTACTTTATTAAAAATAAAAACACATTGAAGCAAAGTAATTTTAGAAATAAAGATATTTGCAGCATTCAGAAACAGTCACGTACTTAGCATACATTTTTCAACAAGGCATTTGAGATGCTTCCTCTGCTAAAAAAAGGAGAGGGGGAGGATATATTTACAAAAACAAACCAACTTTGCTACCACTCTTTACAGCTTGCCAAAGATGGCAACACACTTTGAAAACCACAGATTTTGCTGCTTTTATGCTATTGTTTAGTTACTTTTATGGTATCCTGTGAAAATTTCAATGCACCTGGAAGGTATGAAAGACAGGTCTTTATTGTCATTTCCAACAGAAGACCTTGACGTGGTTGGAACTTCCAATCAGTAGTTTTAACCTGTCACACATTGCAGCATTTGATTACAGGTATCACCAAAAAACACATTCTCAAAGTAGTATTTGTAGAAGGCTAATTCTCAAAGGATAGTTTTCAAAGGTGACATTTTAAAATAAATTCATCAGGCAAAACAAGCACAAAACAAGCACAGTTTCACATACCAGGGGATTATGTGAATTGCATCTTCTTTGGAATCTGTAAAAAAATACTAAAGTGCTTTTCAAATGTGTCCTCATTGATGAAAAGGACAGGTATTTTGTACAAGTGATCAGTTGCACACCAACATCATTATGTTGTTTAAAAAGGCATTTCAACAGAAAGATAAATATTATCAGCACTTAATTTTAGCTTCTCAATTAAGCATAAATTTAGGATTTCCAGATAAAAATCCCAACTCTACAGAATCTATTCATTCATTGGAAAATACAAAATTAAATTAAATAAAGTGCTCAATTCTCCAGTACTGTCTGGTTTTAGAGCAAGTTCACTGGCATTGGTACCAAACTCAACTTTTTATTATACTAAGTTTTCAAACATTTCATACCAAAAAACCAGACTCACAAACCTATATAGTCCAAAGTTAACCTAATTAAATTGAAAAGAATTGAAAGTTCTCACACAAACAGTGGGATACCTGACCAACCAAATACATAATTCAAAAATTAAGGCACTCTGTTATTCAAAACATGTAACAGAAAACCTTAATTTAAATGCATAATAACAATCTTACAGTCTTTGTTAGGCACTACCTGGCTTTTAAAATTTCAAGGTTAAAAGTGACAAAACCAGACATTAATTTAAAGCTGAAAAGTTGTCTCTTCTTTTACAATTTAAGTTTTGTTTCTTCTATGAAATAACCAGTTCTAAATTACATTCAAATTCACATTCCAGTCTTGTAAACTTGACATTAGGAGGGCTCTGGGTATTCTCTAGATCTCCAGTGAGGGGAAAAAAATCTTTAGAAGAGTATATAAGAATTAATGTGATATAAAATTCTGATAAATCAAAAGGAGTGTTAAGAGATTAAAGAATTATTAAGAACAACTATTTAAAGGTTAGTTGTTACACAGTCCCCCAAAAGATCACTTTCCGTGTTTGAAATACAAAGCAAGACTGAGTGCCCTGTTCTGAAACAATTAATGAGGTTTCCTTGGCAGCTGGTTTGACAGTGGTTAAGAGCACTAAGATTCTGCATGTGAAAAAAGTACTGATACACTAATGCTGCATGAACTACAGATACTTTTACTCTATATGGAAGATAATAAAGAGAGAGCCATTATATCCAAACCTCAAGTTTGTCAGCTTCCTCCTGTTCCTGGTAAATGTATCAGCAGTACCTGAACTGCTCCAGTGATGCCATATTTGAAGACTCCAGTTACCAAAGCCAGAGTTTGTGGCAGTACCGTCCACACTGCCTGTGGATGAAAAACCTGAGCACCAGCCTCGACTTCAGGACTACACACTGTAGACTGTAGTGTTTTCCCAGTGAGCAGCTGCTGGTCCCGTCCAGCCTGCAGCCACTGCTGCCATGAAGTAAACAATGAACGCCAAGAGGCAGCACAGATGTCTTGAATATGTTTGGCACCAGAGAGAACAGAGTTCTGCTGAGTCTTGCTAGAGAATTCTGCTCTCATTTGTATTCTGAGATAAAACTTCTGCATCCCGATGCTGCACACTCATTTCATGCTGAGAATATGGCATATTCAAGGATTTGGCCTCAAATCCTGGCTTTCCAACTTGGTACCTGCTTTTTTATATTGAGCCCTGAATATCAAGGATATTTGGATCCAATCTACTACACCTATAAGTTAGTTGCAAAAAAGAATCGTCCAACATTAAAAGTAATGTCATTAGATAATTTCCAAAAGTGTAAGTAATTATTTAAGCCCAGTTATAATCTTGATTTTCATAGAAAATGCTAACAATCAATTAATTAATTAATACTTTTAATATTACACGATGTGCTTCACTCTTTTGGTAAATGTAATGTTTATGTGCGGCTTTCACAATTTTTTACAATTACTATTTGCCAGAACAGTAACAAATGTTTTGGACCATTCTCCCATAATCAACATTTGACAAACTGACCATAACAGACAGAGGTTAGGCCCACCAAGTTTTAATATCAAATTAAAAACTATGCTGTCAGTTCATTTGTGGAATGCAACAGCTGACAAAAAAAATCTTCTTTGCAGAAGGCTAAATGGATCATTCTCACTGACTAGGAAAGCCTACACAGTTGGGGTTATTTTCTGGAAAGAAAGTAACAAAATAAGCTGGAAATAGTAAAAAAAAACCAAAAAAACCCTGTATTTTAAAAGTGCAGTATTTCTTTGCTTAATCTTTTTTGACACTGTATCATTTTCTCAAAGCTATTATGTTGAATGGACACGGAGCTAAAGTTAGACCAAACCTTCCCTCCATAGATGGTTTTGCAGCATTTTCAGGGTACATAAAGGTAAAACTTTGCATAAGACTTGAAAAAATCAAGAACAGCTCCATTTTTGCCAACTGCTCTCCCATGCACACACGTTTACCTAAAGAACAGTTAGAAGAGAGGTATTACTGGCTTTATACAGTTGACCTATTTGTTAACACACATGTAATTCCTGTGTTCCTGTACCACCATGGTCCAAAAAAGGCTCAAACTACCATTAAGCTATGACCTCTGAAGCTCTGGCCTCCTGTATGTGAGTCTAAGCCTTGCTCAGTTGTACTAGTTCATATTAACAATATTTACATCCACAGCAAAAGGAGTATCAAAG